TAAAATTCATATGCAATAAACTTAATTAAAGTTGTTTTTTGTAAACAAAAATACTTGTTAAATTTACAAATAAATTCAACGACATTTTTGCCAATATTAAAATTAAATTAAAAACAAGTTACAAATTAAATCAAATCATATCTATTAAATACATTATACAGTATAATAATTTTTACATTGTTGTAATATCAATACATAAATATTTACTTTAAATTTAAAACAACAATACAATTCTTAAATAAATATAAAAACTTAATTAGAGCTTATTATCTTTATAAATAAACATGCTAAACATTACAATTATTGGTTAGCACTTGTCATCTTGCTTTTCGGAGCAATACCATTTGACACATGTATAGCTTTGTTCACAATCGGTGTCCTGTTTACATTGTATGCGTTGGCAGATTGTATTTATGTCACAGTACTTGCTATGACCACAACCATTGGGGTGGGCGGCGGCGCTATCCTGGCATTGTTTTACGCATTTATTATATTTGCAGTAAAAGTGATACATACAATCGTTATGGTCAGTACAGTTTGCCGGGTTATTTATAACAGTCTTAATACCCGTATTCACGCCATCAACCATTAATGCGTTTAGCATTAACATGACGGTTAACAACACCATGGTCAACTTGGTCATCTTGATCACTGATTATAGTTGCGGTTTAATTTTGTTTGTTTTGAATAGTCTTCACATGTGGTACGTTATGATTCACTACATGTATGAATTTAATATTTAATTATTTAATTTAATTACTAATTTTTGCTCATTACTTAATTAATTGATTTTTAAGCAATAAAAATTAATATTACACTTTGGTCTAACGTGTAGAAAGTCAGCTTTTCACACAGTTCTCCCATGTTCAATACTGGTATGCATCAATTTACTTTTATTGGTAATATATTTAGATTTTAATGTAGTTATTAGTATAGCTAAATAAAAATTATTAAAACAATATTTTAATTTTTAAAAATTGCTACAAACATTTTTTGCTAATAAAAATTGCAATTTCAATGCGAAAAATACAATTGTTTAAACAACTACAAAAATTTGGCTTTGAAAAATTCAAATGTTTGTGGATTGGTTTAAGACACACAATTAATTTTACAGAACTATTTTTTATTTAAACATTTAGTAATAATAAGAAAGTAACATTATAAATATAAATAATTATTTAGGCAAATAATTTAAAATGTTATTTATAAATTAAATCACAAATTTATTTGTTATTTTATTTTATTTAAAACATAAATTATTTTGTAATTTTACACAGAAGTTGCATAATAAGATTTAACCCTGTACGATATTACCACAGTTTTTCATAGTATTAACAGTACAGTGACCGCCGGCTGGTATGCCATTGCACTTGTTATTCATGATGGTATTATGACAGCCACCAACGCCTGCTTTGGCAATACGGTAAATCTGTTTGCAACAAATAACATACATTATTGAAATAAAATCATGCTTAATAATTTTATTAAATGTGCATACGTCAAATCCATTTAATTTAGGGCTGGTGCCAGTGTTGTCCTGGACATCGTAGTAATCTCCTTTTACAGTAACCCAACTCTCTGAATAATTCTCGCCAGTCTCACCATGGCCATCCAGATAATTGCCCTTGATCACACCACAACACGAGCCCTCCTTAATATCAATACACTCTGCGGCCACATCGGGTCCGATATGATTGTTGAGCACTTGATTGCGGTCACTCTTGTCCGGCTGTCCACCTTGCCAATTATTAACCTACATGCAAATATATTAAATAATTAAAATCAATATTGCAGATTTTTAAATTAAATTTATTTAAATAGTAATTATTTATGTAACTAATAATGCAGAAATATAATACTAAGTTCTAATTAATCAAGTTCAACTTACACAGAATTTTTGCTACAATCAAGTTGTAATATACTGTATTACGTAAGTATAATACTTCAATAAATATATATACAATGTTAATTGTTTAAACTAATAGATTACACAAATCCACGATATTTTTGTTTTATCGTAACATCAATTAAATTTTTGTTGTTACTTAATAACAATAACTTATATATGATTTAATTTATAAAAGCAATATTAAAACATGTTAAGCTAACTTTTTAAAAAGTTATGATCATCATCATACATTATTTATTTACAATTTATTGCAAATAAAATAATAAAATATATAGCAAGCAGATCGCAAGATCGCAAGCAGCACGATAATTATATTTTATAATTTATAAATGTAGAAAACATTATAAATATGGGACAAAAACATTGTACTTACAGCTTGACCAATATAAACACCTTCACCAAAACCTTGATCCTTTTTCGTCCCACGGCCTGTCAGGTGAATCTTTGAATTCTTTAGCACATTATCGCTGGAACCCCACCTAAAGTGGACGCCCTCTTGTTTAATATTTTTCACCTCGACGTTATCAATGACATTATGTGAGGCGCCCTCCAACACAATACCCTTCAGCGAATCAGACACTGTGAACCCGGTCAGCACCCAAT